TTTTTTTTTTTGTTAATTTTTTATTGTTTTGCTATTTTTTTGCTGAAAATACTATTTCAAATAAATATAACAATTTAATATGAATTTTCCACTATAATATGTAGTAATCATGGCACATATTCCAGATGCTGTATATTATTTATTAATAAAATATGAAGTAATTTAACGTATATTCCAATGTAAATTTATAATGTATTTACAACAATTCTTGCATATATTCCTGATGTATAATATGCAATATTCTATAATATAATGCAGTAATTCTGGTAATACTTAGTTTAAATATTTGATGTTTTAAACATAAGAACATGTGTCAGAAATCAGAATCATTGTAGTAAGGAATATGCATCAGAGTTACTACTAGGAAACATGCACCAGAATTAGCGCATTTTACAGATGAGTAATATGTGCCAGAATTAATGCATATTACAGAAGCGTAACATGCGCCAGAATTAACGCATGTTACAGAAGCGTAACATGCGCCAGAATTAACGCATGTTACAGAAGCGTAACATGCGGCAAAATTAATGCATGTTACTCATTCGTAACATGCGCCCAAATTAGCGTATATTACGGATGAGTAACATGCACCAGAATTAACGCATATTACGGATGAGTAACATGCACCTGAATTAACGCATATTACAGAAGCGTAACATGCACCAGAATTAAAGCATATTACGGATGAGTAAAATGCACCAGAATTAACGCATATTACAGAAGCGTAACATGCGCCTAAATTAGCGCATATTACAGATGAGTAACATGCACCAGAATTAACGCATATTACAGAAGCGTAACATGCGCCCAAATTAGCGCATATTACAAATGAGTAACATGTGCCAGAATTAACGCATATTACCCATCTGTAACATGCGTCTGAATCACTGCATGTTATGGATGGGTAACATGCGCCCAATTTATCGCATGTTACAGATGAATAACATGCGTCTGAATCACCGCATGTTACATCAGAGAACATGCGTTTGAATTAGCGCATATTACATAAAAGTAACGTGCGATGATATTAACGCATGTTACATCTGGATAACATGTACAGTAATTAACATATGTAATGTGTTCCAAAATTAACATGCCAAAATTGCGCATGTTGGGCCAGAATTAAAAATCAGGTCACGTGACATTAAATTATGGCAAATGGGCAGCCCATATAAGGTTATAACCTATGCATTTGTGACATAAATCGTAAGGTTATAACCTTTGATGATCACCCGAATGGGGTGAAAAAGATTTGTACATCACTAAAAAAGGACAAGATTTACGCCAAAGAAAAATTTTGTAAAACTAAACATAATGGGCTGAGATTTACATATTTATTAGTAAATAATTGCCCGAATTTGCTGATAAAAATTTTTTTTATTGTATGATACTTCCTTCTTCCTTAAAATGAAGTGGCATACCACTAACAGACAACAAAAAACTAATGATAATAAAGTATGCATAATTATCTTCCAAAGGCTAATTTTACAAAAGAAAGTCATCTGGAGCTTAAATTACGCAAGTAAGTTGCTGAAACACTAATTGTACCAAGGGTACAGTTGGGAGCATTGCATTAGACTGGAATAAGTACAGTGATTGCACATTTACACCACATAAAACACTTTGGATGGCCTAATCCAACTTCAAGCATGAAAAACTGGAAGTCAATATTGTTTTTCAAATGAATTACAGAAACTAGAACTATTGGAGCTGGTTTAAATGCACAAGAAAATGGTACTATTTTCTTGCATTAAAATGGCAAAACAATATGATCATGAAGTTTTTATATGTCACCTATTATTATGAACTACAGCCAATTGAAGGTGTTTAAGCAGTTGTAAAAGGTGAAATTGTAAGATCCTAAATTATTGCCTGTTTGAAATACACTTTTAAATGCATTAAAAAATGAAGTCAACTTAAAGATTATAATGAATTTTAGAAAAAAGTGCTTAAAATACCAAGGCATATTTTAGTATATTTTGAGGCTAACGAAAATGTCCAATTAATTAATAAAGAATCTAATAATTATAGTGAATCCGATGGTGATGCACAATTTGGTGTAATAATGATATTATAATATTTCCGAATATATACTAATAAGATTTATATAAAAAAAATGAAATTTAATTTATTAAAAAATTTTTTATTGACATTTATTTTGATGTACAAATCTTTTTGCACTGGACCATATTACTAATAAAGAGGCTTTGAATAGTTTAGAAAAAGTAATTCTTTATTTTAAAAATCCACCCGATGATATTACACAGAATTGAAATCTCTTAATATTTTAAAATCAAAAATTAACAAAAAAATTCAAGATAATGCAAAGAAGTTTACATTAGATAGTTATATGAACTTATGTTAAATACTTGAAATATGTAAATACATAATTGTTGATAAATAAAATTCAAAAAACTTTCGTTAAAAGAAACTTTTTTTTGTGCTAATATAAAGTTTACTATAAAGAGAACTTTCGATTTTGTAAATATTCGTTATAGTAAACAAAAATGACTGGAACCAAGGGTTCACTATAACGAGCTTTGACTGTAATACAGAGTTTCAAAAGATACACTGCAATAGTCCGACCGGTATTACATCTTTCGCTCTACATGCATACTGTATAGTTTGTATGATCGACATTTATCATATTTCAGTTTGGAATGGTCTAGACCGTTGTCACCGGGTGTGATGCTCACTGCGCATAAAATCAATGATCATCGTGGAACTATATTTTATTTACAAGTATAAAAAAGGTTAGATACCATTTAATGGGAACAATAGAAATAGGTTTGAATTGTTATGCGTAATTGCTTTACACAATACATGCACAATATATAAATAGTTTTTTTAAAGGGAAAAAATAAACATATCTCTTTTAAAAAAAATTATTCATGTCATAATGGTGGATATTAAAGAAGCCACCTGTTTAGCAGGAGATGTTGTAGGTTCATTTGTCCCCTTAATTGATGTTGCTACAACTACAATTAAAAAAATAATAGAAATTTGTGAAGCCGCGGACTATAACCAAAATATTTGCGATGTTTTAACAGTCAGGGTGAAAATAACCGGTGCTGCTTTGGAGTCATTACGACGTAGGAAACAAAAAAGAAAGGAAAATGATAAAGTATTTCATGACGCTTTTCATAAATTTATATATGTTTTGGAGGAAATTAAGAAATTTACTACGAAAATTTCGAAAATCCACGGGTTTAAAAGATACACAACGGCAATATCTGTTAAAGAAAAATTTATTAGACTTACAGATGAATACGATAAAGCAATGAATGATTTACACTTTACTATGGCTGTTGCTAATGATGAACAAAGGAGGATTGAAAAAGAAGCTTTAGAAGAGGACATTGTCGAATTTGAAGAATATCTTAAAACAATGGATAAAAAAGTTGATAACATTGATGGAAAAGTTGATAACATACTTGATGGAGTACAGTATATTCAAAATTGCATTAATGACAAAGTAGTTTTACATGGCGCAAAAAAGATTGATTCAATAGATTTAGTTTCCCCACCGCGACCAAATCCTGATGATGTCCGAAGCGGAGGAAGCTCTAATGTTGTAATAAGAAAAATTTTTAAAGGGCAAGAAGTTGCTTGTAAAAAAATTTCAAATACTGAAGAAGAAATGAAATCAAATCCAGACGTGCAGAAACATCTTAAAATCTTAACCATATTATCAGATTGTAATCATATTCTTAAATTTTATGGCGTTTCGAAAATTGGTATTGATAGTATGATGATTTTTGAATGGGCTGGACGTGGAACTTTGAGAGAGCTTTACGAAAAAAAAGATATTAATTGGCATTGTAAGGTTCGAATCGCTCTTAATATTTGTCGTGGGCTTGTATTTTTGCAACAGGCTGAAATTTTACATCATGACCTAAAATGTGAAAATATCTTAATGACACATACTCTAGAACCTAAAATTTATAAGTTCGATTCAGCACGTTATGATTATGGAAAAACCACTTCAGTAGGGAATAAGTTGGATGACACTGTGCGTTGGTTGGCACCGGAGAAATTAAGCAACGCTAATACTCGATATACAACACAATGTGAAATTTTTAGTTTTAGTATGTTACTTTGGGAACTTGTTTTCGAAAAAGTTCCGTATAAAAACATGGAAAAAATAGAAATGATTAGGGAACATGTGATTAAAGGAGGTAGAGAAATAATTAGATTTGGAAAATCAACTCCCGAAATTTCTAAGCTCCAAGAAGGTTATAGGAGAATTATTTATGACTGTAAGTATTATGAGATGTTATTTCAACTTTGTTTCGTTTGAGTTCATATTATTTAACTTAAAATATAGAAGTGCATGTTAGAAAGTAAAGTAATATAGAGCTAAATTTTATAAAATTTTCTAATCGATTTTATATATTTTATAGCTTGGAAACACAATCCACATGAACGTCTTTCTTTTTTGAAAATATTGGACATGTTAGAAGAATTACATAGTTCCATTAGCTGTATGTTTGATGACGATTTGCCAGATTTACTTCCTGATAAGAAATTAAATTTAGATGGAACAAAAGAAGATGATCTAGATGATGATTTAGAAATACCAGATGATGTTGATCCGAATATTTCAATAACATTGGATGAAGGCGTACTAGCTTTTAGGACAGGTGATCATCAAAAAGCATGGAAATGTTTTGAATATCATGCAAGTAATGATAATGTAACAGCAAAATTTTGGAAGGGTCGTTATTTATGGGAAGGATTACATGACGATGTGAAAGAACGCGAAGAAGGTAAAGCATTAATTAAAGAAGCTGCTGATAGAGGAAATCCTGATGCTCAATTACGTTATGCATTTATTTTATTAAAGAAACTTAAGCAAGGTGATAATCAAAAAATATTTATGGATTATATCACTAAATCTGCCATAGAAGGGGAAAATATCGCAGCACAATATCATTTGGGTGATATATACTATAAGGGAAAATGTGAAATTCCGGAGAACAAATCTGAAGGAATTAAGTGGTTAAGAAAAGCTGCTTTACGAAATTATAGTAAAGCCATCAAGTTTCTAAATGAATTAAAAATAGATATATATGGATTGGAAAATGAATGAATGTATTTAAAATGGATCAAATGTATCAGTTATGGTGTAAAAATTCAATAAATAATATTTATTTTCTTTTTAATATAAGCAATGTAACCAGTGAAAGCTTTAACCCTTTAAAAGCCTGGAACTCGAAAATATATAAATTATTTGAATTATTAGAAAGAAAAAATTAAAAAAAAAACGCCATTTTGCCCCAATCACATTACGATACGTAATTCAATTCATATAAATGTTCGAATAATTCATTTAAATAAGGTCTTGACCGAAATCACAATAAAACTACATAATATCTCACGAGTCAATAAAGCGCGCCAGTATTTATACCGATAATTTTACGCACTAAAGGTAGTTACGCGTATTGTCCCTATTAAAAATATTCGATGCAAAAAAGTAATGTTTATTTTCAGGCGCTTATACTGTTATACTGTTTATCATTAGTATATTGACCAAAGCAAAAGTTATAAATCATGCCATTGCAATTATACGATCGTTTTATTGTACTTTTGATCACGTGCTTATTACGGCTATGCGAGTGTTAAGAAATTTTTTTAGTTTAAATGATTAAGTAACGATTAGGTAATTAGTGGCTGAAGGATGCTCATCGGAGGCTTAGTGGTACAATTTGTACTTTGGACAAGATGTACAAAGGACGATTTGTACTGCGGACTAATTGGCCAAAGGACGAGTTGAACTATAGACAAAAATGTACTGAATTTTGGGAGATATTTAAAGAAAAGGAGGATGAGCGATTTTGGAGATGAATAGTTAAGTGATAATTAGTGATAATTAGCCCTTGTAAAGGGATAACGAATATTACAGAGCGCCGAGTGAGGCAGTAATATGGTCGATTCCTTACCGATTTCAATTGTTAATAAAGATACACTGTTTCTTACCGATTCTTAACTATATATTTTATTATTTATCGTTTATTATCATTTAGTTATATACAATTTATTTATTCTTGAGTTTATCATTTATCGATTGCACACCATAAACCTATATTTATACCCATATCAAATATTATCCTATCTTTCTTTATCGATTATTATCGATTTCCTACTGATTATTGTTGCATTACGTTAATTACTGAGTTTCTCTAGTAATTTTTTTTTTCTTGCTCTTGTATTCCTCTTACATACTAATCTTTACATTGCTTAAAAAAAGAACGGGCTTTTTTTCGGGCCATTTTTTTTTTGATTGTAAAATATTTCTATTTTTCCTGATATTTTTGTTACTATCTGACGAATCGTATAAAATCGAGTACTAATTCATGTGTTCGAGGGTAATTCATATGGGCCGATTTGTCTCGCTTCAATTATGTCACCATGTCACCTGTGGGCTGTCGATCACAGTTTATTGGTCAAATTTCACGTGGAGATCAACAAATACGAAAGTTAAAAGAATTCAAAAAGAAAATTTTATAATTTTAATCACGCAACTTTATAATAAATAGGAATTATTTTACATCCACTTAAAAACAAACATTATATCTATTTTTGCAAAGTAAAATTGTTTAAAATGAATTACAAAAGACTGAGAAATCACGAAAACTATAAACAAATATTATAATACGTTCAAAAATTATTATCCAAGTCTCCTATGATCCAATTTAAATAATTTTTAATACTCTAAGAGAGAAAATAAGTCTCTTTCTAATAATACTAAAATTGTCTAAATTCAGCATGTTTATCTATAGCTATAACTATTTGAAGATACGGTACATAATCTCATCATGACAGTAAATAAGAACAGTACAAAACGTCCTATAGAACCTGTAATAAAATAAATAAGAATTAAAATTACAACAATAAAAAAATTTTTTTAAAATTTTTCAATGCTATTAACAAAATATATAGGAAATATATTATTTTCTTTTTTTTTCTAACTTAAACAAGTTATTTTTGTCATTTCACCGAATAACCTTTCTAATATTTAAACTAAATAATTTTACTATTTCACTTACCATTTCCAAAAAAGAATATCCTTCCAAAAAAAACCAATTCTAAACCAATTCCCAAAGGTTTTAACTTTGCGAAATCAAGTTTTGAAAGCATGCAAAGATGGCTTAAATGCAAAATAAAAATAAACGTCATTATGCATTACTTTAAAATTATCAATATTATCACTATTTTGTTAATTGGTATGTGGATCAAAATTCCCTAAACTTATTAGTGATACCGGATGTTTTATTGTCCAATAATGAATATAATATTAAAGTAGAAATAGAGCGAAGTCAGCAAACAATTATTTATTTACAAGAATGAACCAGTTGGAAGCAATCATGGATTATTATTGATTGGCATAATTTGGGCCAAATTATAATCCAGCAGAAAATTTTTTAATTTGTTTTACTAAAAACTATTTCTCAATTTTTATTGCTTATATAATATAAATATTCTAACCTGATAAAATTTAAAAGCTTTTGATATGCTTTAGAGATGGCAACGGTCAGTCACGGTCAGTTATTATTTGGTCATAACTGGTTAAGGACCTTTGACCAACTGACCATTTTGGGCTGACCATTTTTCTAACTGTTTAACTGACCATTTAACTGATTACTTTTTCTTTTTACAGCAAAATTCAAAATATATGGGACACTTGAGAAATTTGATTGTCAGGTTGTCGGGTAGCCAGGTTACTTGGCAGTAGGTTATTTATTAGAAAAGTATAAATAATACATGACATGAGTATAATAGTAGTATATCAGATTATATAATAACCTACTGCCGAGTAATCTAGTTACCCGATAACCCAACAATCAAATTTCTCAAGTGTCCCATATATTTTGAATTTTGCTGTAAAATTGTAGGTTATTATATAATCTGATATACTACTATTATACTCATGTCATGTATTATTTATACTTTTCTAATAAATAACCTACTGCCAAGTAACCTGGCTATCTGACAACCCAACAATCAAATTTCTCAAGTGTCCCGTATATTTTGAATTTTGCTGTAATCAAGAAAAATCGTTAAAAAATGTAATTTAATCAAAAAAAAAATGTTATTTAACTTTTTTTATTGATTAAGTTCATAAAAAAAGTGTTAAGTGAATAAATTTGGCTAAATTATCAGTTAAATGGTCAGTTAAATGGTCAGTTAAATGGTCAGTCAAACTGGTCAGTTAAACGGTCAGTCAGAAGCCTTTGACTGACTGATATCAGTCACAGTCATAAGGGGCATGCCAGAAATCATGTGATTATGCTCAATTATAGACCTAAGTCACCTAACCCCCTATCCACCATGTGATTGAATTCTGATTGGCTAAAAAAATACATACAGTATAATATATAATATAATATATTAATATATATACTATAATACAATTAATTTGCTATCTAATAATCCAATTTGCATAAACTTTTTTTTGTTTTGTAGCCCATTTATGCTTTATAAAATAAAATAAAAAATTCATTGAAATTGGACTGCTAGATGGTGAAATAATTGCAAAAAGCTTGTTAATAAATAAATTACTATCATATATTATATATATATTATAATACAATTATTTTACTATCCAATAATCCAATTTGCATAAACTTTTTTTTATTTTGTAGACCTCTTTATGCTTTACAAAACAAAAAAAAATTCCTTAAAATTGGACTTTTAGATGGTGAGATAATTGCAAAAAAAGCTTCTTAATAAACAAATTATATATTATTTACTATAAAAGATATACTATTACCATAAAAGGTATATTGTGACACCTGATTGCAGGACCTGACCCCCATCCACCCACTAAATCATGTAATTTTTGGTACGCCCTAACCAGTTAATAACCGTGACCATAGCCATCCCTAATATGCTTTATCAAAAATTATCAGTTAAAATTATTTTTAATGATGTGTCATTTTTTGAAAACACCACATTATAGGTATAAAAAAATTATAGTGGTACTGTGCCAAAAAACTGCCCTAAAAAATGTGACGCAGGTAACAAATATATTTCATAATTTAAAAGGAAGGCTATCACCAATCAATATTCTGTGTGTGTTATCTTGGCCAAAATTATAATTTGACGTATGACTGCGTATGACTCCATTGAATTTTATAATAGGCCTGTTCAGTTTCGGGTTGATAATTATTGGATGGTGAAGCTGCGCAACTTGATCAGTTTTTATCGCGTGTTAATTGGTTATTGTTGGAAATTTTTGCGATCAACTATCAGCCAACTCAATTCTGATTTTGATCACATATTTGATTGCCTAATAATGGATTGATTTCGTCTGTCACCATACTCCAAAAATTAAAGGAATTTTATTAATAAGCAATAGCTTGTTGTTAATCCGTTGTATCAATGAACTTAAATCATATAAGTAATTGTGTACACAAACAATATTCTGGAAATAAGCTGTGACATGAGCAGAATGTTAAATTCTTTTTAAAAATATGATATCGTCGATAAAATGATCAAATCATTAGTAGAGTTGGATTGGTCTTAGGACTGATCTTTATGGTCTTCAGTCGAGAACCAGTCCAGACTAGGACCAATTATATAATATATCTCATCAAATAAAAAGATTACAAATTACATATTATTAATCAAGATTTCATTTGAAATATCAAATTTTTCTCAATTCCTTATGATGCATGCTTTAAAATAAGGGAAACGTACATTATTAACATAAAGATGCTTAACGGTTCTGAAAGACCATGGTCCTACCAGTTCTACACCTCAAAGGATGGACTGATCCATCTTAGCATAGGAAGTCTTTCAGTCTTATATCACTTGGCCAGTTGGCCTAAATGGTGAGACTGCAGTCTTTTTAAGGACTGATCTTTTTTTTTGTTATTTAAAAACATTTAAATTTTTAGGTTCTGGGTGCCAAAGGTTACTTTAATATCTCCTAAACTAGATTAAAAAAATGCTTTTTAATAAAAGCGACATGTTTTGGTACTAAAACTACTAGTTGGTCTTGTATAACTATTGTGCAACTTGCAAAAAATTATAAACTTTATTTAGTAAATATAAAATTTTTAATATAAAGGCTGGTACAAGACTTGCATCCGCCCTATGACTGGTCCTAAAAAAATAAGACTGTGGTCCAGTCCTACAAAGTCCTAGGGCCGGTCAGTCTAAGATCGAGATGGACTTGCAGGACCGCATCTTTG